ACAACCTGGAAATTATCTAGTTATTAATCAATAGATTGACATAGCTTAATCGTTTGCTATCTTGTATTTCTTTGTTGAAAAATAATAAACTTCAACAAAAAACAACATAATGAATTTTAGCACAATTCTCAATTAAATTATGAGAGTTCAGCTATATTACAGTTCCAATAAACAAGAAACATAAGTAGGTATTGCTTCAAAATATTATGGAACCTATTTAATTGCCTTCAATGATCAATCATAAGCAAAAGCTTATATCATAATTATAATAAGCTTTATTTGCTTATAAATTAAGTCATTTTAAATAGGTATTACTTCTTTTCTAATATATAGACTTCGTATTGGGAAAGCTTCAATTATTGAATTTCAACCTTGTAAACAATTTATAACTATTAAACAATTTTCCTTTTTACTTCTTGCAAATTATTTGCTATTTTTGAATTCACAATATCATAATTTATTGTCTTGTTATATATAGTAATTCTTTAACCATGCTTCATCTGAATTGAGTTATATTTGTTAAATCAGATTCTCCTTTTCAACCGATGAAGTGAATTTTAATCAACTAATTATTAAAACATTCTAATATTTGTTGATGTTTTCTATAAATATTCAAAATAATTTGAAACAGCTAATTATTTATTTTCCATAACATTATCCTCCATTATTAAATATTTATCAGTAAGATATGAGCAGTTATTTACAAGGATATTATAAATAAGCAATATTTGTTGCAGAAAAATTGTTATGTTTGAGTTAAGATTCAACAGCATTAAATTATTCTGACTCAGAAGGTGAAAAATAAAATAAAATATAATTTGTGCATGATAAAACTAAAAAACTTAAGAATTTTATTGATATAGAGATGATAAAAGAAGAATTGAAAAACAGACCTAATGTTGAAACGAGATCATATAATACCAGCTTCTCCAATTTTAGTAGATCAATTTGGAAATTTAAAGAAGATTAAAAGATATGCAAGGAGATACCTTCTGAATTGATGAAAAGAAATTATTCAGAACTAAGGTAAGATATGAATCCAGTTTATAGATTTGG